AGACCCCACCTCACCTATGCTGAACCCCCTACTGATGGCTACTGGGATGTCCCAATATCTCCAAATGCCAAATATTTCACAGTATTTGAGCAATTCAACCGCAACCTTCCGGATCACAAAAGACTGCCAATGGAATTTGAGAGACTTAGTCTTTTTCATGCTAAGCATGCCTCTCCCATTGAGAAAATATGGTCTAACGATAGACCATCCGCAGTCAAGAACTACAAGATTCGGAAGTTCATGAAGGCTGACTACATCCAGTATACCCTCACTAGAAGGGAGCATGACTATGTCCGCACCCAAGCAGACTTCCCTTGTATGAAGCCGGAAGAAATCTTTCTCATTGCCAAGGTGTTCCAGAACAAGTCAGAAAAGCACCAGAAAATGAAGATTGCGCTTGAAAGGGCTAATACCTTTTTGAAGGAAATGGTCTGTGATTTTGCCAAGATCGACGCAGACATCTACCCCATCATTGCCAAGAAATTTGATATGCCACCACTTGACCCTGCACCAATGCCTACCGAAGGCTATCAAGAAAGATCCTTAGGCCCAACCAACTTTCCTAAACTTGGAGTCATTTTCAAAAGGAAGATCGATAATGTCAAATATTTCATTCCTATGACTGCCATACATCGCCTCACCAAGAAGCAACTTGACATCTGCCGAACCGCAGTTGAAAGATCGAAGCACACTACTACAGAAGTCAAGTTCGAGATCTTAAGAAGAATCATCTGGCTTGAAAACATCAGGAAGTTTTGGTGGATCCTGATCAAGTTCCTCAAACAGCATGTATACTTGTTGAATCATAAAAAGTGACCCTCTTGAACTTCAGCTACCACAACCTCTTCAGCTACCGCAGCCATCCAACACCCGCAGTCAAGCTACTTCTTCAGCAACCGCATCCGGAGTCTCTACCTACCGCAGTCACTTAACTAGATTACTTTACTTGTCTTTTATTGTAACACTCTCTATTGTCCAGTATGCCTTGCATGGCTACTCTTAGAGAGGTAATCTAGTGTACATCGTGAGTCTCTATAAATAGAGCTCATTCTCTTTGTATTCAAAACACTTACACGCATCTATCTATTCTGAATACACTTCTCTGAAGTTATATTTTCTATCTCTCTATCTAATTACGCATCACCTCTTACTCTCAAATCTTACTAGAATACAACTGATTATAACCTCTCTTCGGAGCAAGTCTTATGTGACTTAATCACTAAGTTTGATCTTCCTTATTAACCTGGATTGAATGCATTCCTCGTTATGAATCAACTTATGTGTATTCTTGATATAACAATTGTTGTCATTTCTATTTCTTTACTTTCCGCAACTAACTCTCTAACTATCTAACTCTAACTTATTAATATTCTTGTTGAGCTTTTAGATCCTTCGAGATTAACTATTCCGCAATATACTTGTTCTAACGTTTGTTCAAGTGTGTCTCTAAGTTTTTCTCTCAACAATACTTGAACACCTAAATGTTCGGCCACCTCCCAAGTGGCTGATGTCGCCGGAAACAACGAGATCAACGACCAGAAACGACTGGTGGCAACAATGGCATTCACGACGTCAACACCGCGAGGGACGAGGGAGAGAGAGAAAGAGAGAGAGAGAGAGAGAGAGAGAGAGAGAGAGATGAAGGTTAGGCTTACCGAAACTTTTCCTGGTTGCTCACGTCCTGCACACGACAAAACAGTGTCACCTTCGGTCTTCGCCAGTTCTCCAATCGTCTGCAACGTCTTCGGCAGCAGGTGTCGCGATGGTGACGATCGACGGTATCATAGCAGCGGCGTCGGACTTGGCGATGTGGCGGCTGGGGGATCTCCTTGAGGGTGGCGGCTGTAGAATGGTGCTTCTTGGTTTAGGGTTAGATGGCGGGGAAGGAACGTAGGGTATAACCTCTGCTTCTCTTTCAAACATTCAAGCATTATTACAAGTTCAGTCCCTCCTCACCAGATCTTCTTCAACTTTAATCCAACATTTACCCTTTAGCCCTATTTCCTTAAATTCATTTCATTTTAGGTCGAAAACTTACCAAACAGCCCCTTAGCCTCCAAAATATCTTCAAATAAAGTCCCAATAATTAACAAGCAGCCCCTGCCTTCATAAATATTGACATACCACTCCGGAACTTACACTTTTAACCCCCAAGTTCTAAAATTGTAACAATTAACTCCTCGAGACCAACACCTTGTTATATTGTTATTGATTTTAGGGCTACTATTCATTCATTAATTTGTCTATTTATTTATTTAATAAACGGGGTGTTACACCGTCCTTCTCCGTGAAGAACTAGGGCATCATCCCACGTGCCCTCCAAGCAGCTCTAATCCCAACCGCAGTCAGCATAAAATCCTCCCAATCCTCCCCACTGAAAGAAATGCTTTTCAATGTGTTCGGCAAGGATATCAAAAACCGACCAAGCTGCATTTCACCCATAGCCATTTGTCTTGCCAGTTCTTTTTGGGGGCTTTATGGTTTATGATGAACGCATGGACGCCCCGCTGCTAAGAGAACATATGCATGCCAGACTGAGTAGAGGAGTTGAAGAAGTACTTGAAAGCCCATAATTGAGGGAGCACGTATAAAGATCAACAGGCCATCTCGAAACCAACTATTTTTGTTAACAACATTAGGAGTTAGATCCTCAGCAGAGAAGCCATAATGGCGCAAGATCTAATCAAAAAAATTTGGTTGTCGGCAACCGAAGACACGCCTCAAAGATTGGGATTTGAATCAAACCTTCCCTTCAGGCGGCCGGGAAAATATACGCCCCCCCCCTTCGAGGATATTGTACCCCGTGCTCAGGAAGAAAGACAAATCAGCCGAGAGACTCAAACTCCTTTGGTGTAGGCTTGATTCCAGTGTTTGGCGTTTCCATTGTTTACCGATAACAAGTGCATGACGAAAGAGAAAGGAAGCAAAGAGAAAAGAAGAAACAGTTGAAGAGCAATAAAGCGAAGAAAAGGAAACCGTCCCCGATAAGGGAAGTCTTAAATGCAAGGAGGGAAATTCGAATAGTTACAATGATGAAACCATCTGTGCAGACAGCTCCGTCACATCAGCGGATGTCAGAACCATCCCAGCCGAACACATGTTTAGGGCTAAGCTAGAACAACTCAGCTACCCAAGGCTAACACTGACGTTTACTAGCCTCGGGGACTTGTTAACGTATCCTTCTAGGAATAAGTCAAAGACAACAAGACAGTTATCTAAAGGACGACCTAGCTAACTGTCGCTACTTAGCTTAAGTGCTAGGTCAGGCCCTCACCCTCGCGGCCTCGTACTTAGGCCCCGACATTCTAGCGCCAAGGTCCAGCTCAGAACAATTGGCTCCAGTCCATAACAAGCCAAAATAGTATCAACCACTCCCCATAGCGACAAGTGGAGCGCTCAGAGCGCTGCTCTTTGGTGGTTCTACACCAATAGCAGGTAACCACTAGTGGTGCACGATCCGCCAATAAGACGCCTCCACGTCCTGGCGGTCCAGGCAATACAAAAAGTACTATCGGGGACATGCTCCTATGAAGATAGGTATAAAGGAAGCCCTTCTTCTCTAGAAGAAGGGATCGCCTCTCTCTCTCTCTCTCTCTTTATCTCAAACTAAACCCTAATTCTCTCATACAACTACTAACTAGACCGTTGGAGTCTCGTTCTGGGACCCCCTCCCGGACGACGACTAACGTCGGTTCTATCTTTGTTGTGATTCTCAAGCTTAACTAATGTAAAACCACCACATAAGGCGTTAAGCTCAAAGACATATCACAACAGAGAGGCCATCTTTCCAACGTGGATTGGAAACCTAGTAACGGTGAAAAAGAGCGATAGAAGCTAGGGGATGTGCATAGATTACTCAAACCTCAACAAAGCTTGTCCTAAAGACTCCTATCCAGTCCAATAGATAGACCAAAAGGTCGAATCATTGCAAGGCTTCCAATGCAAATGCTTTCTAGAGGAATATAAGGGCTATCACCAGATATTGATGAAGAAAGAGGATGATGAGAAGACTGCATTCTACACGGACCACGGAACCTTCTTTTATAAAAAGATGCATTTGGTTTGAAGAATACAGGAGCAACATATCAATGATTGACAGAAAAAATATTCAAGGATCAGATAGGCAGGAATATAGAAGTATATGTGGATGACATGGTAATTAAAAGTCCAGGCGAGACAGAACTAATCAGAGATGTCGAGGACACACTACGAAGACTGGAAAAAGTTCACATGAAACTCAACCCAGCGAAGTGCACATTTTAAGGTCAGGAGGGAAAATTCCTAGGGTACTACATCATGAATGAAGGAATACAACCAAGCCTATAAAAGTTGAAGGACCTGCTAGATACCACAGAACCAAGGAGCTTGAAGGACATGCAAGCGTTGGATGGAAAGATCACTGCTCTAGGGCATTTCATATCAAGATTCGCAGACAAAGCTCTACCACTATTCCATAAACTGAAAGGTTGTATCAACAAGAAAAATTTCTGATGGACGCCACAAGCGGACCAAGCACTACGAGAATTAAAGAAAGCACTCCAAGTACCGTCGACTCTGGCTAGTCCTGTACTAGGAAAAATATTGTCAATTTACTTATCCGCCAAAAGTGATGCTATATCAGAAGTCTTGACGGTTAAGAGATGAGGAAACTAACCATTCCTGACAACATAGAACTCAGGCATCTTTCTACGATGACGCCACTCAATGCTCATCCCTGCTCCGCCTAAGACAACTTCAGGGAAATCCTCAGGGATAACTTGGAAACTATTGAGCAAACGAGCAACCTCTTGGTTGCAGGAGAATAATTTGGGAGCACCATTTGAAGTAGACTCTATACAAAAATACGGACCATCGACACGAGAGACATCAGCCCATAACTAGTGGCCCTACCTGTTCTTAGGGCTAGCCCTCCCTTATGGAACAAGAAAATGGCTATTCTTGCTAGCATAGAAAGTATAGTTGTCGTTCGTAGTGGAAATGAAGAAGTAATTTTCTAAATCTTAGAAATCCGGCTCCAATCCTTGAGAACGGCAAAGAATCTCAAAAACCACAACCTTCATAACAACTTTTGGGGTCAACTCGTAAATGTTAACTCCATTCTTCTGGAGAAGCTCAGCCATGAAGTCGGTTGTGGGAAGGCGGTCACCGGCATAGAAAGTTTTCACATATATGCCTACTTTACCCGGCGGAAGGTCCGATAATAGTACACCCTCAAGCGGGATGATGACCCCGTCTTCCGGTTGAAATCTGTACTTCCCCTTCAGAGAATCGGCGTATTTTGGAGTCAGAATAATTCCATCGGAGGAAACCATGGTGATTGGAAGCATCATTGAAAATGAAAAGAAAGAAGACAAGGAAGAAGAAGCAGATGAAGAAAGAGAAAATGACTTGGTAATCATCGATATATAAGGAATGAATATAATCGGGAAAGTTAGAATTAATTTGATAAGGAAACTGATGGGACGGTTCCCTCGATCTACGGAAGGCGAGTTATAACTACTAAAACCCGAGAAAGACACATGTCGTCAAAGTCCAGAACAACATGGCTAGACTACATCCACGCCATGATTACAAGAATAGGGACTTAATGACGTATCCTTTGGATACGTTGCTACGAGGCAGCCCAAACAACGAGGCAGGGTGTGTTGTGTCTATCCTGGTGTGCATCGGTTTGGCTGACCAACAAGACAGTATGCCCTTACAGATTTATGCCTCGCTGGTGTAATGAGGAGGCGTGGGTTAGAATGCACGGGAAAGACATCAGGGGAAGGATCGATCCTGTTCCACTAACAGAGATTTTATCCCCACCAATCAGGACCACCAAAAATTTCATCTGTTCCACGTGGACCAATGAAGAATGAAGGGATGTTGCAGGAAATAATCTAGTGGTATCGAGCCCATGCGCCTCTACTTTACTTATATAAGGAAAAGGAGAGGTTTTCTCATGTACGATCTGAACCTTACTCATACTACCGCCTGATACCACCAATCACCGACCGCTAACTTGATTGTTGGAGCGCCTCCCCTAGGATCTTCTCCAAGGGTGCGACTTACATATTCGTTTGTTGAGTGTGACTGCAGATCTCGAAGGATTTCATAGTACTTGAAAGCTAGAGGGGTCGACGTTACATCTCTCTCTCTCTCACTCTCTCTCTCTCTCTATATATATATTATATATATATATATATATATATATATATATATATATATATATATATATATATATATGTGAGTTTTTTTAGAACTTATACATTTACGTAAACCCGAGAACTCCTAATCCAACCAACGTTTTTCAAAACTAACACCACCAATCTATTCGAAATCCAGCGTCTAAGACAGATCCATGTTAAAACAAATTTGACGAACTTTTGTTTTTGTTAAATATGTGCATGCATGCACATTTGAATTTGCATCAAATGTACATATATGCGCATTTATTTATTTTTTTGTGTTTTTCTAACGTTTTCAAGTTACAAGTCTTTTAAAAGCTGACATTAAAATCTTATTCTTGGTTTTGAAATTTTTTGAATAAAATACAAAATATGCTTATATGCATATTTCAAAAAAATCGTCAAATCTTTTTTTAGCCTAGATATGACTTAGACGCAACATTTGGAGACTAATAGTAGTCTTCGTTTTGAAAAATGTTGAGCGGATTATGAGTTTTTGGGTTCTTGTAAATCTTTGAGTTCTCAAAATAACTTAATCACACACACACACACACACACACATATATATATATATATATATATATATATATATATATATATATATATATATATATATATATATATATATAAAGCATTTTAGATATTTTTGAAATTTAAGAGGTACCACACCTACTACATCATATACAATAAACTTATGCTTAACCATTCAATACAAGTATTTGTTGGATTAGGTATCTAAGCCCATAACTATAATTGTTATATACTTGAATTAATAGTAGCACAATCTTTTTGGGTTGCCCTCAAACCTAGCAATTGGACAGGATGACTTTTAGAGAGACAGATTAATTTATTATGTGATTAATAAATTAATATTAAATTTTTATTAATGTATTATGAAAATAATATATTAATTAGAAGTGCAGGGTCTGAAGTGTAATTATTCAATAGTTGAGCAAAAGGTTCCAGAACCTTCCTTCTTAAGGGATGGACGGTTTTTGGGGATATTATACGGTTTCTAGAATATCCCATGTGAATAAATAAAGAGTTGGATAATTATCAATTTGAAATATAATTATTATATTCCAATTAGGGTTATCTATGGCTTCCTTGTACCACTATATAACGGACCCTAAGGCCTTCAACTTTCGGTCACTCATTATTCCAAAGGGATAGACGAATTTTATACCTCCTCTCTCCTCCTTCAAATCATCATCTTGCTAGCATGGGTGTGATTCCGTTAGAGGCACGACATTTGTTGTGCTAGCTTTCAAAAGATCTACATTTGAAGAATCATTGTTATTTACTACAATAACAATAAGGTATGTAATTCTAAACCTTCTTTTGGTATTTTAGAAAATAACGTATACCATTTAGGGTTTCCTATTTGAAGTTCATAGTTATAGGTTCAATAGTGAAAACATAGATCATTTAGGTTGTATGTGACCTTAAGGGTTTTAAGTTTATTTGTTTTACCTAAATCTCATCAGCGGTATTAGAGCGTTTGGTTTGTTTTCAATTGAATTGCTATAATTGTTGAATTTGATCAATTAGGGTTTATAGAAATTAAACCCTAAAAGGCTAAAAATTTCGACTACGGTTAGGGTTTTTCGAAACCATAACTCACCCACTTAGATTTCAAAATTAGGGTTAACGTTTTGAAACCCCAACCTTCCTCCCCAAGTTTTCGAAAATTTCTATATGGTCAGGGTTTTCTATTTTTGATTATTGTTAGTTTAATTTGATTAAAATGGATAATTATAAAATTGGATAAATCCTATACTCATAATTTTCGAAAATTTAGAGGGTAAGGATTAGGATTAAATTAGTTGATTATTTTAATTTGTTAATCCCTGATTGATTTAATATAATTAATTAATTGTTAATTAATGTATAAATATTAAATCATTTGGTTTATTTTTTAAATTTAAATTGATTGTTTATTAATTTTCAAAATTTAAACAATAAACCTAGTATTTTGAAAAGTTTAAAATACACCTTATATATTATTTTTAATTATTAATATATCATATGTATAAGATTAAGTCAGTCAAGTCGCTAGTATGCCTCATTAACGAAGCCGATCTATAAGGGGTGTATAAGAAAATTGCCTATATAATGGCAGTTGAATGGGTGTCCAGTCTCACCCACCGCTTCCTTAATTGGTGGAGGGTCGTTAGCATAACGGACTTGATAGGAAATTAATTCTTAATAAAATTATAATGATATTGAAAAGTACTAGACCCTTCTTTTATTAAAATCCCAAATCTAGTTACTTTAGGAAAAATGTGAATTAGTATGTTAACCCATGAAATTGCACATTACACTTTATAAGTCGTTAGTGGAGCATGTGTGGTTAACCAACACACTAATAGGGACTAATAAAGAGTTGTAATGGGTATCTCATAAATTATCATTGTTGATGGAGCGTGTGTGGTTTACTACAACATCAATTGGGATGATAAATGGCAATGAGGTTACCAAGCACATTTGCATGGTTATTCACATCTTATTTGTGATCCTTGGTATCCCAGTCACAATGTAACATACCGGAATTTGCAGGTATTTGCGAATCCTCCCTTCATTATTATTTAGTCATTTTTAGTCCTTGGGGATGGAAGGATGTAGCCATGAGATGGCCTAATGGATAGCATTGTAATTTTGGATCAAGAGGAGTACGTTGCGCGTACATAAGGGTAAATTGAGCGTACTAGGCGCGCCCTAGTACGTTGGTCGCACATTTGTGTACGCTGGGCGTACTCACGTCAAACCCTAACCCCTTTCTTGAGCTCATAACCCTCTATCATTTCAGCCTCCATAGTCTTGAGCCGTTTTCCCCAAACCCTAACCCCTTTCTTGAGTGTATAAGCTAAAAGTGTGTGTTTTGAGTAGTTGAAGAAGAAGGAGTTGCATCAAGGAGTTGGAGAAGGAAGGAAAAAGCTTGAAGATCTGAGGTTATCTTGTCCTCTAGAAGCTCCAGGAGGTAAAACGCTTCTGCCTTTGTGCTTATATGAAGTAGATCTTGACTTAATAGCTTTATAACACATTTCTTGTCCCAAAAAGTCCCAATATTGTGCATGTTGTGTTTTGGACATGTTAAGTTGTCCTTTTAGACCCTAGGAAGGCTTTTAAGTGATAAAAATGAGGTCCCAATGGCTAGAAGTGTCTCATGCATGTGTTAGAGAGGTCTTAATGGATTAAGACCTTGCATTAAGAACGTTCTGGACGTTCAAAGCCTTAAAGTTTGAAAATTTATGGTTCTAATACACATTTGGTCGATGGATATGGAATATGGGCTTAAGTGCTTAAGCCATTAAGCACTTAAGAGGGTTTTGGACTCAGCGAGGGTACGCCCCGCGTAGAGGGCAATATGTCCCACGTACGCAGTCAACGTCCCCGCTTTCCATTCAACGCGAGGCTCACGTACGCCCCGCGTAGCTTCAGAGTATGCCCATTGTACGTCCTCTGTTAGGCTTTTGCGATTTGGGCTTCCGGATTGGGCCATCTTTGAGCCAGTTGGTTTGGACCTTTATTGGACTTTCTGAATAGATGTGTTTTGGGCCAATTATGGGAATGGATCTTAGGATGAGGCCCAATTAGGGAGTTGGGCCCAACTTGGAAAATTGGGCCATATATGGGCCTTGTATATTGGGATTTTGGATTAAGGAATTGGAGTTAGGCTTTGGCCCAACTTAAGGAAAAGATAGAATGGACTATCACCATATGTTTGGACCCTTCGCCAAGATTTGTATTCAACTGTTGACTTAGTATTGTTTATTGTAATAGCTTGGGATTCTCGGTGAGTCAGCAGTCGAAGATTTCAGTACAGTTTGACATTGTGAGGTGAGTTATTCTCATTATATCAACAAGGTCTAAGGCACTAAGGTCGGCCCTTTTTGGATTGTATCCTGATTATAGGATGATGCTATGTTTAGTGATCTGTTAGATTTGTATCCTGGTTATAGGATGATGCTACGTTTAGTGATTTGTTAGATCGGTTTCCTGGTATATAGGATGATGCTATGATTAGTGATATGTTAGATCTGTATGATTATCTGTACATGCTAGCTAGCATATGATATTTAAGTGTTTATTGTATGATTGGCGGTGGGTTGAGGCGGTCCTGCTTTGTGCTCTAGGCGAACATACCCAGGGCGGCCCGG